CATATTTCTGTGTCAACTAGATTATCATATTTAATGGCTGCTTAGGATTTCATTTTGTGGTTTTACCATAATTTATATAACCAATTTCTTATTGGTAGAAATTTAGTTGTGAAATATTTCTTGTTATTTGGCTAATTTTCCTCTTAGGATAAATTCCTAGAAGTAAAACTTCTGGATCAGATTATTTGCACAGTTAAAATTTTGATATTATTATGCTGTCCTCCAGAAAGATCGAACCAATTTACACTCCACAGCTGTCTTGGTTTTATTTATGTTGTTTAGGTTACTTTGCCTCACTTGAATTTTTTATATGTTTAGTATCATTGCATTTCTTAATTTATAAATTGTCATCAGTGTCCTTTGCCCGGTTTTCTTTTGAATAAATTTGTGTGAGTTCTTTGTAGGTGCAATGACACTTTATCTCTTCTACCTATCACACACACATTTTCACCCCAGTGGCTGATTGGTTTGTTTTGGTTGATTGTTTTCGTTTACTACTGTTTTCAGTTTTTACGTAGCCAACTCTATTCACTTCTCCCATCCTTCAGTAATTTAATGGTTGTCATATGGAAGAGCATTTGATGTTGACTCAATTTATGAAGAAGACAGAAGCGGCCCAATGGGAGAAAAGATGCAGCGTGGCAGCCTTCAGCTAAGCATAATAAACAACTTTCTTCCAATTAGAACTGTCAAATATGGAATGCGCTGCCTCCTAAGTAGTGAGATGTCCCATAATTAGGGACTATCAAGCATGAATTGCATGACCACCTCACAGTGATGCTGTACAGGGTGAGGCCAGATGGCTTCTGGCATCCTTAATTACTTACAAGGCAGATTTTTAAATGGGATGACAATAATTTAATTCTACTCCATTTTCCCAGGGAACCTTTCTCAAAACTGTTAACACCAACTAAAACCATGGGCTTTCCATGAGCAATCGGACAAAAGTTGGTGTGGCAGAGCTGGCAGCACTGAGTTAACATAGTTCTGACCCACTGATTATTATTAAAAAGCATACCAGAAGAATGTTAGGGGGTCACGTGGCTGTCATTCATGAGTTGTACTTTCATCACCATGCATCACCTTGCAGCCACAGACATTTCCGTGAAACCATATGAAGCTCATGGTAGCTGATCTCCCACAGCTGGGAATGAAGATGGGTTTAGGCAGAGCTGACTTCCTAGAAGCTCAAGCATGGGCTTGGCTGAGTCCTGGGATAGCACCAGAGCCAAGTGGTGCAAGGCAGAGCTAGAGAAGCAGCCTGCTATGATGCTGCTGTTGTGCGATCGGCAAAACCGACTTACAGAGAGGGGAGGGGATATCCCACCAGATAAGTCTCAGAACAGTCCTGAGAATATGCACTTCTTAATCTGTCTGACCATGTTGATCTCTTTTGGTCATCAGTTACTGTTTTTTGTTAGACAGGATTGATGGGGTTAAACTTAGACTTGGAAGAATGCTCTCACCATTCATTCAACAATATATAATGAACCCCTATCATGTGCAAGGCATTGGGGATTTAGCAACTTGAAACTATTGAAGACAACTTGGGGTAGTGAAAGGTCTGAAGCACAAGGTACTTTGGGCACTCATGGCCATGGCATCAAAGCTTGTCTGGAGGATCAGGAAAGGCCTTCTGGAAAGACTAAAAGTAGAGATTTAAAGGAGAGGAGGAGTTGGCCAAGAGGCAGGATGGGAGGAGAGGTGGTGGCCAAATAAGTGTTCCAAGGAAAGGAGAGGCATGGGCAAGGGACCAAAGCCAGAGAGAAATTAAGATCTCTACATCTCTGGAGTTGTACGGGGATGCTTCTGATGTGATTATAGAGGAAAGAACCAGAATTTAAATCAAGGGATCAGGTGTTTGGCTTTCAGCCTTGCCAGTTCGTGGCTACACGACCTTGGCAAATAACATAATCTGTCTTAGCCTCAATTTTCTCATTTGCCAAATGATGATAATAATACCTACTTTACAGGCTTATTCTGAGCATGGGATGAGCTAATGGAGATAAAATTGGCCAGTGTGGAGCTAGGGTTTAAACATCTTAACGCCTTTGTGTTGAAGATGCCAATGACCAAAATTTTTTTTTTTTTTTTTTTTTTTTTTAACCCAGGCCAGCTCTTCCTTGCTGCCTGTGGACACATGCCAACAGGATCAGTTCAGCAGGCTCTTACTTTCTTTCTCAGTTCCTACTTGGGGTCATTGTGAATTCAGGCACTGAGAATGTGAAAGAAGTACAACACAAGGATCTAAAGTTGGAATTTAGTTGGGAAGAGAAAGTTAGGGTAAAGTGATATCTGTCTTCTACATTGTCTGCTGTCTCCACCTCCAGCTAGTCTATGGGCTCCTAAAAGGGTATAAAATAGGTTCTAAAAATAGGCCTTCTTTTTTTTCCCAATGATAAGATTCCCAAGAGCCTCGCTGAGTAGGTGCTCAGCAAATTTTAGTTAGATAGAGCCAAAGAAAGTTTGAGAGCTTGGGGCAGAATTGAAAGGGTAGTAAATACAGGGTATAGATCTGAGGGATTATGGAAAGAAAAACCCGTGTAGATGGGGGAGGGTTTGCAGAGGTAAGATTGGAATGTTCAGCTTTCGTACATGCTGCCAAAGAATTTTCAGAGTGATGGCACCACTTTACGCTCCTACCAGTGATGTATGAGAAATCCAGTTACTCACATCCTTAGCTGATGTCAGTCTTTTTAATTTTAGCAATTCTGGTGGGGGAGCAGTGCTATTTCATTGTGGTTTTATTTTACCTTTTCCTAATGACTAATGATTTTCAGCCTCTTTTCATGTGATTATTAGCCATTTGAATATCCATTTAGTGACATCCTTGTTCAAATCTTTTATTGATTTGGGGGAGTTCTTTACTTCTTATTTTTTACTTTTAAAAAATTTTATTTTATTTCTTTCAGCTACAGTTGACATTCAATATCACATTAGTTTCAGGCATACAGCATAGTGGTTAGACATTTATATAACTTACAAAGTGATCCCCTTGGTAAGTCTAGGGGATCCTGACACCACCTGACTCCGTACATAGTTATTACAGCATTATTGACATTATTTCAAAATGAAAACACTATAAAAGACTTCTAGAAAAAAAAAAATTGAATACCTTCCTCACCTTGGAGTAGCTAAAAACCATTGGGGGAGTTCTTTATGTTATGGATGCAAGTCCCTTGTTGGATATATCTACTGCAAATCTCTTTTCTCATCTGTGACTTGCCCCTTTGCTCTTCACGGTCTCTTTTGATAAAAGAAATTCTCAATTTTAATAAAAAATAGTATGCCAACTATTTTCTTTTAAACTTAGTTCTTTTGTGTACCATTTAAGAAGTTTTCAGCTACTCCAAGGTGAGGAAGGTATTCAGTTATTTTTTCTAGAAGCCTTTTATAATGTTTTCATTTTGAAAAAACTTCAACCTGAAAGTTGCAAGAATAGTACAATGAAATTATGTATGTCCTTCACCTAGATTCAACACTTGGAAATTTATAATGAACTATTTTTTTCTAAATAAAGAGAAATATTTGCATATGGTTAAAAATATCCAGTCTGATGAGTGATAACATGACAAGTAAATCTTCTAACTATCCTGACGCAGCTCTCCTCCCCAAAGGCAACCAACATTAACACTTTCTTACACAAACTTTTATAAATATTTCCCATACATCTACATCAATATATTTATAAATATTCCTTTTACTTATTTACCAACTAGGACATATTAATAAGGCTGTCCTGAACATCACTACATTACTTTTTTATTTAACAAAAATAAATTTGGAAATGACCTTACCTCTTCTAAAGGCTGCAGATAACTATTTTGTATCAAAGCTTTATAATTTAAAGCTACTGATCCCTCGTGAAGAGAACAGTTAGGTTGTATTTAGACTTCCCTTATCACAAACAGTGCTGAAGTAAACATCCTTGTGCACAGGACTTTGTTCCAAGGGTCTGGGTGTTTACAATTCTGTTAGTTCTGGTCAAATTACTAAAAAGGTTCTTTTGGTTTCAAACCTCCAGCAGCGAGTGATGGGGCCTTTCCTCTTTGGGGGAGTCGTATTTAAGTAAGCAGAGCCGAGGAAAGGCAACTTGTAGTGGAAGGAACAGCATGAACGAAGGCTTGGAGTGGAGTTTCTTAAGTTGGCACAATCGGCACTTCGGGCTGGGTAATTCTTTGTCGTGGGGCTGTCCTGCGGATCGGAGGATGTTTAGTTGCATCCTGACCTCTACCCATTAGGTGCCAGTAACAAGCCACCCTCTCCCCATGTGAGGTGTGACAAGCTGACATGTCTGCAGACATTGGCAGAAGGGATGTTCAGGGTCCAGACTATGGAACATGTGTGTGTGTGTGTGTGTGTGTGTGTGTGTGTGTGCAGTGAGCACAGGTGCAAAACCGAGAAGACAGTGTCGGGTTACATTCTTAAGAGCTTCGGGGTGAGTCTCAGGAGAGGACTGCTTCTTCCCTCGATCATCTCGCTTTTCATAAGAGCCCACATTGTGGAAATCCCCTCCTCTTGTGGACTTTTGTTTGGTGAGGCGAGAAAGTCACAGAATAACCCCTCTGCCTCTATTAATAATGAGCAGCTCAGGGGTGGTGGTTCAAGTGCACACAGCTTGTTCATGACCTTTGGTCTCATTTGAACCTTGCATCAGCACTTGAGGGTCCTGCTCCCTGGTGTACAGCTGAGGAGATCGAGGCTCAGGGAGAGGTGTAGAAGCCAGGGTCCTCCCTGGCCCTCAGGTCACAGCACTTGCCATTGCTCTGCTGGGAGAGGCTTTACCAGCCAGCTTAACAACTGCAGTTTCTGAAAACACATTATGGAGCCGCTTACATGTATTTTCGTCAGTATTTCCATCATCTGTTGAACCTCAGAATAGGCTCTAAGTCATCGTCTCCCCCCCTCTCTCTGCTCACGTTTTGGTTTATTTTTGGAAGTGAGATCAATGGATTGTCCTCTGCATTCTTTCAGGAACCTCTCTGCTGCATTGTAACCACACCCAGGAGCAGAGCACGTGGTTGGACTTCATGGAATATATGACAGCTCCTCTCCGGCTCAGTTTCCTGATCGGCCGAGTGATACCTCGGCTCCCACGCTCCACAGGTCTTGCTGTGTTATTATTAAGTTCATTGCTTGGCAGACATAACTTGCTAACTCGTAGTAACAAGGGCGAATGCATATGTAACTTCAGCTTCTGATGAAGTGCCTGGTGCATAGTACGTGCTCAGTCAATGTTTGTAGAATCACATGGTTACCTAGGAACCATGGCAAGTAGGAATCTTCCAAGGTCCTGGGCCTCAGAGGCCCCTGAACTTTGGAATGCTATCCCCAACATTTTCTCAGACCCTCCAGGGATCAGGATTCACCAGACAGGGTGTTCTGGGCCCAACTTGGACCCACTTTGGCTTTGGTCCCCCTTTCTCCCCTTTGGCGTGCTCTCCAATCCTCTACCTAGTGCATGGGGTCAACCAGATGTCCCAGAGGAGCTTCAGGCCTGGCACCTAAGAGTTTGTCGAAGGGACCCATGCATAGGTCCCGGTTCCAGGAAGGCTCCCTGGTGAAAGGACCTTTTCTGCTGGCCAGAGAGTATTTATTTTATAGGATCAATCACATGAAATTGGGCTGTCAGAAGGTGCTGAAACGCTGATTCTGGTGACTTAGATTGTTCATATATGCAGAGGACTCACAAAAATATTTACATGAGCCCTCACATACCCTAGGGGTAACACTGTCTAGTAGGTCATCATTCATTCATTCATTCATTCATTCATTCGAGCAGTCATTCAATGGAGTTCATGCTTTCAAGTGACCTGCAATTAAGTAGTATAATTGCTATAAATGCTAAGCTATTTTATTATTATTATTGGCAGTAGGAACACATGCATTGGACCCCAGACAAAAAAGTGATGAACCCAGCCAGCACATGGTGTACAGTCTCAGCATAAGGGAGGTTACCTTCATGGAGGTGGTAGCTTAGGACTTAAAGAATGCCCAGAATTTTTCTGGGAAGGGCATGTTCATGTTCAGGGAACAGAAAATAATCCTGTGAGGTTAAAGGACATGTAGGGACTGAAAAGAGATGGGAAATGAGCTGGAAAGGAAGGTGGGCCCAAGACATGAAGGATCCTGTCACTAGGCGGAGGTTTCTGATCCTCTTTTCTGAAGAAAAGGTGAATCACCAAGTGCTTTCTAGCCAGGAAAGAGACGGTCAGTTGCACTGTTTAGAAAGTTCATCCTGGTGGCTGGGTGCAGGTCAGGTGGGAGGAAAGCAAGCTTTGGGGAAGAAGCAGCCAGCAGCTGACCAAGGTGGTAGCCATGGAGAAGGAGAGGCTGTAGGTCCATAGCTGGCCGGGTCCCAAACACTGAAGGGCTGGGGGCGTCAGGGTCATCACCTCCTCTCAGAATGGCCTGCTCTTCTTTTCTCTGTCCTACTCTTCTCACTTCCCTCTTCTCCCCTATCTGATCAGGGACTGAGACGAGAGTCAGCGCACTGGGCAGCCCACCCTTAGGAAGCCCTTCCCAGAAGGGCTTGCAGAGCCTTGTTTGTAGCCTGAATGGAAGGCCCCCCCAAAGCATCTGCATTTATCTTGCGGGGCTTCAGGTAGGCTTGCCACATGCTTTCAGGGTGGCCTAGGCAAGGGTCCCAGCTCCTCCCCAGTGTCTCTGCTGCATGGCATGTGCCCCACCATGCTGCTTGGGCTCCTCTGCATGGTCTTTCTTGCCCAGCATGTGTGTGGGTCCCCATCGGGACCTGCTGCATCTGTGGAAATGACCTCAGTCTTTACAATATTTGTTCTTTTTGGCTTTTTAAACAATGTCCTCGTTTTGCCAGAGGAAAAGGGAAAGAGACTCTCTAAACGAGCCGGCCGCCCTTTGTTCTGGGCCCATAAATCTGGCGCGAGCACATGTCCGGCCTTCCCGCCCCTCCTGCATCATTGTCCCCGCTGCTGATTAATAGGTCAGAGCTAACTTTAAACTGGCATTTCCTGACCAACCCATCTCCCAACCCCCACCCTGCCTGGCTGTTCCTTAAAAACCCTCCGTAGTTTAGAACATGATTTCACTGCATCCCACAGGCTCCTCCTCTTGGTGGGCTCCCAGGCCACTGCTCTTACGTTGGCCAAAGCTGGTCTGAGGATAGGCTCGGGCTGAGGGGTGAGCATGTCTCAGGGCGTCTGTACCACCCCTAGGCTATCTAGTCTTGGAAGATCCTAGCCGAACACCATCAGAGGGGCAGCATGGAGAGAGGGTGTGGAATTAGTATGACAGGGTGTTTATTTTGCCTTTGTCTTTCCCTAATGTCCTGTGAGTGACTGAATTATATCTCTACTGTGCCAAGTGATGTTGTAGAAGAGAAGATACTGACATGGAGAGATGTTATTGATATTGACCAAGTAAAGCAGGGTACAAAAGTTGAGTGTATCTGTTACCCAGACATATAGTTCTTATTTTTTAATTTTTCAATTATAGTCTACATTCACTATCATTCTGCATTAGTTTCAGATGTACAGCATAGTGGTTAGGCAATCATGCACTCCACAGAGTGGCCCCGTCCATCCTTCAAGCACCCACATGGTCCCACACATAGCCATTACTGACTGGATTTCCTATGCTGCAATCTGCATCCCTGTGACTATTCTGTAAGTAGTTCTCACTCCCTTCACCCAGTCCTGCTACTCCTTCCCCTCTGACAGCTGTCAGTCTGTTCTCTGTATCTATGAGTCTGTTTCTATTTTGTTTGTTAGTTTATTTTGTTCATTAGATTGACATTTAAGTGAAATCATATGGTATTTGTCTTTCTCTGACTGGCTTGTTTCACTTAGCACAATACTCTCCAGGTCCATCCATGCTGTGGCAAAACGTGAGATTTTTCTTCTTTTTTATAGCTGAGTAGTATTCCACCGTGTAATGTACCACAGGTTTTTAATCCATTTATCTACTGATGGACACTTGGGCTGCTTCCAAATCTTGGTTATTGTAAATAATGCAGCAGTGAACATAGGGGTGCCTATATCCTTTTGAATTAGTATTTTGGGTTTCTTTAGATATATTCCTAGAAGTGGAATTGCTGGGTTATAAGGCAGCTCCATTTTTAATTTTTTGAGGTAACTCCATACTGCTTTCTACAGTGGCTGCACCAATCTGCATTCCCACCAACACTGCAGGGAGGCTCCCTTTTTCCACATCCTTGCCAACACTTGTTGTTTGTTGATTTATTGATGGTAGCCATTCTGACAGGTGTGAGGTAATAATCTCATTGTGGTTGTAATTTGCATTTCTCTGATGATTAGTGAATTGAGCATCTTTTCATATGTCTACTGGCCATCTGTATGTCCTCTTTGGAGAAGTGTCTGCTCAGGTCCTTTGCCGATTTTTAAGTTGGATTTTTTTTTTGGTGTTGAGTTGTACAATTTCTTTATATAGTTTGGATATTAACCCCTTATCAGATGTATCATTGGCAAATATGTTCTCCTATTCAGTGGATTTTCTTTTCCATCCTAGTCTTTTATTGTCCTTGGCTAATGGTGGTTCCTGACACCTCCATAATAATAGTCCCAGCATTTTACAACAAGCCTGCAAGGAAGGAATGTTCTTCCAATTTGAAAAGAAGAAAACTGAAATCAGAGGGGCTGAATAGCTTGCCCAGTCTAACAACAACTCTGGACAGCTTGAAATTCTGGCCTGTCCAGCTACTCAGCCTTTCCTCTGCTTTGAATGGATGAAGAGTTCCTTCTGGAGCCTTCAATCTCAAGGCTCTCCCTTTCTCTTAATATTTTCTCTTTCATAGGTGACTGTTCTGTAAGCAATGTTAAGATGTTCAGTAAACTCAGGGAGACCAGGGGCCCTTGTGATGAGAGCCAATGGCTGCATGGGGAACTGACAGAGTTGTACCTTCAGCGATTGTTAGAACAGAGAAGATAAGGACTGCTTGAAGGAGCAAACCCTCCCTGTTGCTCCTGCCCCATCCACCTCTGGTAAGGTCATGGGGGTATTTTGTGATAGGTATTCTTTTTTGACTCTGGAAATGAAACTTGTGTCACATTTAGCTGTGGACACATCTGCCAAAGCAGCTGCTTACATTGCACAATGTATGCTTCTCACCAGCCAGCCCCGGCCTGACCATAGGCAGAGGACACGATCACTTTTCTTGCTCAAGGATGAGCTGCGGTGATGAAAATAGACTTCCCCCCACCCCACCCCAATTCAATGAAGAGAAGAGAAGAGAAGTGGTTCCATCATGTCTGTGGGAGGGATATGGTGGGATATGAGTGGAGCCTGGCTTCATGGTCAGAGAAGTCTGGGTTTCGATTCCACCTCTCTGTCTGAACTTGCTGACCTTCTGCGTACTCATTGGTGAAGTGGAGACAAGAATATTACTTATCTCACGATGAGGATTAGGTCGGCAAGGTTTATACCAGGGCCTGGTAATCACAGGCACTGTTCTGAGGATTTTACTTGTGAACTCATTCATCCTCATCACAAACCCTATGAGAAGATATTATTTTCAGCACTTTGCAGAAGAGGAAACTGGAACAGAGGGAGATTATATAACATAGTTAGGAAGTGGTGAACTGGGATTCAATCTGGGGTGCCTGTGATCTCAGCTACGACACCACACTGCCTCTCACTATAGTCTGCAGTAAGCCAGTGCATGAAAATTCCCTCTACTCACCTATGCAAAGGATTTTGTTTTAACTCTCCCCCAAGGATATGCCTATTGGTTTGAGAGAGAGAGGGCAAAGGAGGGAGGGAGGGAGAGAGAGAAAAATAACATTGATTTGTTGCCTTCCACATGTGCCCTGACTGGGAACCGAGCCTGCAACCTTTTGGTACACAGGCCGAGGTAGGTGGGGCATGAGACTGAAATACAATACACCAGAGCAGAAATTCATGAAGTCACTTTAAAAAGAGTCTCCCCATGTTTNGAGGTAGGTGGGGCATGAGACTGAAATACAATACACCAGAGCAGAAATTCATGAAGTCACTTTAAAAAGAGTCTCCCCAAACAGCAGGACCTGCCAATAACAGCGTTCAGGTGTTTATGTATTAGAGATGGAACAGAACATTCGCAAGGGGGCTTCCTCACCCATGCACCTGAGGGT